CCCCCCAGCCCCCTCCCAAAGACACCTGCACCCCCATTCCCACCAATAAACCCCAGACACCCCCAAGGCAAGAAATGGGGGTCCCCCCTCAGAATACAACCTCCACCCAGGGCAGAAATCTGCCCTGCCCCAGAACAACCTCCCACAAACCCCTGCTGAGACTGGGGGGGCAGCTGTGGGGGGGGACAAGGGAACCCAACTTCCTCCAGGGTCACAAGTACCTGCCTCAGCTGGACCTTGACCCCAGGGGTTGATGTCTCCCTCGTTAATGGTTACAGGCTGGTGAGGGAGGGTCCCCAATAGTGCCTGCCAAGCGTGACAGGGACCCAGGCCCCCGGACAGGGGGAGGAGATTTCAGGGTTGGGATTGGAAGGAGATAGAGGGTCCCGCCCAGGCCTCCGGGGCATGGGGGTGGGACAGGGAATCCAGGCATCTGGGTCTGACCACCCTCTACCCTCTCCCCCGCCAGGATGGGCGCTACAGTGTTTGTGCAGCCACTGGACCTGGTGAAGAACCGCATGCAGCTGAGTGGGGAGGGCGCCAAAACCCGCGAGTACCGCACCAGCTTCCACGCCGTGGGCAGCATCCTGCGCCATGAGGGCATTCGCGGCATCTACACCGGGTATGGGCACAGGGGGACCTATGTGCCTGGGTACCCTGCCTTGGGTATGGCCAGGACCCAGATATCTGGAGCACCTACACTGGCTACAGCTAGGACCCAGGTGTCCAGGGCACCTGCACAGGAACGATACAGGGAGCAGGTGTCCAGGGCACCTAGGCTGGGTATGGGCAGGTGTCCAGGGGACCCAGGCATCTGAGGAGGAACCCACGTGTCTGGGGCATCTAATGCTAAGTACAGCCAGGGAACCCAGCTATCCAGCACCTAGACTGGGTACAGGCAGCCATGCGGAGAACCCAGACATCTGGGGTACCTACCCCGGGTACAGCCAGGACCCAGGGGCCTGGGTTATCTCCACCTGACACAGGGCAGGGACCCAGGCATCCAGGGCCTCTCCATGGGGTGCTGGAGAACGACCCAGGGCATGGACATGGGGCACTAGGGAGGGGACCCAGGCATCCGGGCCAGGTCTGACCCCCCTCCAAATGGCAGGCTGTCGGCGGGGCTGCTGCGCCAGGCCACCTACACAACGACACGGTTGGGCATCTACACCGTGCTGCTGGAGCGACTGACACGGGACGATGGTACACCGCCCCCCTTCCTGCTCAAGGCTGCACTGGGGATGGTGGCCGGTGCTGCTGGCGCTTTCGTGGGCACCCCTGCTGAGGTGGCACTTATCCGCATGACAGCAGACGGGCGGTGAGTGCCTTCCAACCTCTGACCTGGCACCCCCTGGCTTCTGGCTCTGAGCCCTCTCTGTGCCCTGACAGCCCCTGACTTCTGCCGCTCACCCCTCTCTGTGACCCCTGACCCCGCCCTCATCTTTGCTTGGTTTCCACTCCAGTGCCCCCTGACCCTTGTCATGGCACCTGCCCCTGACCCCTCTCTGTACCCTGGTGACTCTTGCCCTAGGTCCCTGCCTTCTATCTGCTCAGTCTTCACCCCAGTGCCCCCTGACCCTGCCTCTCTACTCTCTGGACCTGCCCTGGTGACCCCTGACTCCTGCCAACTCTCAGTGTCCCCTGACCTCTTATTTCTGCCTTCTCTCTACCCCCATGCCCCCTGACCTCTCTTTGTGACACTTGACCCCCAGGACTCCCTCTCCCATTGCCCTGTGTCCTGAAGCTGCCCTGCCCCCTGTCTCTGGTCCCCAATGCCCCCTGACCCCTGCCCTCTGCCTCCCAGGCTGCCTCCTGACCAGAGGAGAGGCTACACCAATGTCTTCAATGCCCTGGTGCGGATCACCCGGGAGGAAGGCGTCTTCACACTCTGGAGGGTATGGCCAGGTCAGGGGTCAGGGGTCACAGGGGCCCCCCCAACCCCTTCCTCACTCCCCCACTTCCCCTACAGGGTTGTGTCCCTACCATGGCCCGGGCAGTAGTGGTGAACGCGGCACAGCTGGCCTCCTACTCCCAGTCCAAGCAGTTTCTGCTGGACTCTGGTAAGTTCCCCCTCCCCTCCTGGCCCCGCCTTAACAAAACCAGGAGTTGTTAGCAGCGCCCCCCTCCCCCAACTCCCTTCCTTTGTGTGCAGGGGGGTCTCACCCACCCCCTCCCTGCCAGGCTACTTCCGGGACGACATCCTTTGCCACTTCTGCGCCAGCATGATCAGCGGGCTGGTCACCACGGCTGCATCCATGCCCGTTGACATTGCCAAGACCCGGTGAGTCCTTGAGGAGGGGATGTTGGGGTGGGGGGCCCCAGCCTGGCCTGATTATGCCCCCCATGACCCTTGCCTCCCACCCCCCCGTCTCCTACCAGGATCCAGAACATGAGGATGATTGACGGCAAACCTGAGTATCGCAATGGTTTGGTGAGTGGCTGTTGGGGAGGACCCCTTGCCCCCCAGCAGGATCCTTGGGCAGCTACCCAGGGAGGGGTTTTAGATTTAGCCAGGGGGAAGAGGGGGCTATAGGTAGCTGGAGGAAAGATATATAGGTAGCCAAGGGGCTGCTGCGTTGATAGCCAGAGGGAAGGGGGGGCTGCTATAGGTAGCTGCAGGGTGGTCTGCTTCTGGCTGGAATAGCCTGGGCCAGTAGGGAACCCAAGCCATCTGGAGGTGACCCCGGTTGCTGGTGAGGGAGGGGTGGGTATCTGGGTGCCCCCTGACCTTCCCCCACCTCCTGTCCCCACTGCAGGATGTGCTCGCCAAGGTGGTGCGCTATGAGGGCTTCTTCAGCCTGTGGAAGGGCTTCACACCATACTATGCCCGCCTGGGGCCCCACACCGTGCTCACCTTCATCTTCCTTGAGCAGATGAACAAGTTCTACCACCAGCTCTTCCTCAGCCCCTGACCCCTCCCCCCCCAGCTTATTTATTGCGGGGGGCAACCTTGTCCCTCTGTCTGACCTCAGTAAAGTACCAACTGCGGCCAAGCCTCTGTCCTGGCGCCGATATCCTGGGGGGTTTGTGGGGGGATGTAACCTCCACCCCAGAGGTGGGCACAGTGGAGACCCCCTGGTATCCCCACCCAGAGCCAGCTGCATCTCAGCCCCCATCTGTTACACTCAACCACAAGTGTTACACTACAGAGAGGGTCACATCCCAGACCTCACTATTATATGCATCCAGACTACCCATTATACCCCACTTCTGCTGCCCCACCTCGGAGCCAGCCACATCTCAGCCCCCCTCCATTACACCCAGCCACCGGCATTGCATCCCAGACCCTCAGTTATACTCAGCCCCTCACCCCAGAGCCAGCCACAACTTGTCCACACAAACCAGTCCTGCATTGTGGGGTGGAAGCAACTCCTTTAATGGACAACCACAGCCAGGGGGTTCAGCTGGGCCCAGGATGCGGCCAGATCTTGGGTGAGTATAACAGGGCTCCCCCCTGTGGCCAGGAGCACCGGGGTCCTAGCAGAGAACAAGGGCCGGTCCCAATCCCAGCTCCTATGGGCTGGGGGGAGAAGGATGGGGGTCAGGATAGGGAAAAAGGTGCATCAGAGCCGAGCCCTAGATGCAACTGGCTTTGGGCTGGGCGCCATGACTCCCCAAGGATGCTGCACCCACCCGGACACAACGCTACCTGGCCTAGGCGAAGGGCTTGTCAGGGACCTGGTTGAGCTGCCCCACCAGGAAGATGCCAATGGTGCCGGCGGCGAAGAGCAGCAGCGCAACCCAGAAGCAGAGCGTGTCCAGCGCCTTCCCCACCAGCACCCAGCGCCCTGCCTCCTGTGGCACAGGATGCCTGGGTTCTCTCCTGGCCCTGCTGGGGGGCGGCACAGGGACTGGGGCTTGTACTCACATTGTCCGCATCATTCTGGGCCTGGATGGTGGCCGACACAAAGTTGCAGGCAGCAACACACTCGCGGATAGCTGGGGCTGCCTGTGCCAGGCTGATGCACAGCTCCCGCGCCGGATCCAGCCCCCCTGCAGGGAGGACAGTCAGGGCCCCAGGTGTCCGAGCTCTTTGGTCTCCAAGAACCCTGCTGTCCAGGACTCCAGGCCCCACTCCCTTCCCATGCAACCCAGGGCTCCAGGTTGGGGGGGGGGGGGGGGTCTCACCAAGGGAGGGGCCCAGGTGCCAGTGCCGGAACAGGACCTCACTGCGAGGAGTGTTAAGTGCCTCCTCCTCAGCTGCCAGCAGATAGGGGGGTGGTCCTGGGTCCTGCTGCCCCTCAGCCACCTCCCCACCCAGCACTCGGGGCAACAGCTCCAGCAGCACCTGGGGGCAGAGGTTGGAGGTCATTGGGGAGGGATTGGGGGGCCTCAGGGGACCCAGGTGATTGGGGTGGGGGGGGCTCACAGGCAGGGGCCCAACCAGGCTGGGGGTGCTGGGTGTGCGTAGGGAGACATTGAGCACCACGACGCAGCTCATCACCACCAACGTTGTCACCACCATCACGAACATCAAGTACCTGCCAGCAGGACCCAAGACTCTGGGGGGCTCTGCCCAGGGAACCCAGGCATGCAGGCCTCCAGCCCCACTCCTCTCACCTCCCAGAAAACCCAGGTGTCCCGGGGGGGAGGGGGGGGGTGTCTCACTGGCCCAGGAGGGGGATGCTGAGTGAGGTCTCCGGCACCTTCTGGGCGATGAGGAAGAGGAAGACTGTCTGTGCCAGCAGCACCGAAATGGAGAGCGTGCACTTCTGCCCCCCTGCTGCAGGGACCAGATTTTGGGGGGGGGGGGGGGGGTCAGGGGCCAGAAAGGGACCCCCTCTACCCCAGGGAACCCAGGCATTTGGGCCCCCAGGGCACATTCCTGAGGAAGGCTTAGAAACACCCTGACCCCAAAACAGCAAGGGGAGGGGGCAGCAGCAAAACCCACGTGCAAGCACCTCCCTGGTGCAAACCCCATATAAGCTCCTCCCTTGGGTCATTGTGCAAAGCATGTGAGCTCCCGTGCGAGGCCTTGTGCGAGCCCCTGTGCAAGCCCACCTTGCGCAGGCAGGAAGTAGACGAGGAGGCCAAGGGCCGAGAGCAGCACAACGGGGATGACAATGTTGATGATATAGAAGAGTGGCTTGCGCTGGATCACGAGAAGGAAGAGCACGGCCGGGGCCTCCCCTGCCTGAACCCGGCGTGCTGGCCGGTGCCGGATGGCCCATTCCCCATTCTCTGCACCCAGGGTCAAAGGTCAGGGCCAGGTCGCCTGCAGACCCCTGCTAGTGCCCCAACCCACAACCACCTGCCCCACAGCCCTGCCAGTGCCTCTCACTCCTAACCTGCAGCCCCCAGGACCCAGCGCTGGGTGTATATGGGCCCTGTTCTACCCAGCTTTGCTATGTCCCAGAGGTGACTGCATCTCAGATCCTGGATCTCAAGTCTGCCAACACCCCTCTACCCCAGAACCAGGGCCTCACCCACTCCCCCCAACTCCAGCCCAGTCCTCCCTCAACCTGTGAAGGCTGCAGGGTCAATCGTGATGCTGTCAGCCACAGCCCCTGTCACAGTGTCTGTGTAGAGCCGCAGGTCAACCTCGTGGCCCCCATATGTCCCCGACCTGGGGGCAAAGGGAAGCCATGAGAGTAGGCCCTGATGTCCCACCTGAGGCAGCCACATCAGGGGGCCCTGTTCTACCTGGCCCCCAGGGCCCACCCCAGAGTCAGCCGCACGCACTTGAAGAGTAGGGAGCAGTTCTGCCAGTCAAAGGGGAAGTAGGTGACGGCCACCGGGCAGGAGCTGCGGTAGATGGCAGGAGGCAGCCAGTATACAGACCCGCCTGGGTATATCAGCACGTTGCAGTAGTAGGCAACCTCAAACCCACCGTCGATACTGAGGGGGAACAGGGCGGGGTGGGGGGGGTGTAGCATTAGGCCTGCCGGTGCCCCTCACTCCCAACCCTCAGCCCCCTCCAGGCCTCACTTGTTCTCCAGGACGATGTCTGGCAGCCAGACCAGCGTGGATGGGACCCTCAGGGACTCAATTCCCCCAAAATCGCTGCTGTTGTAATCCAGGCGGTAATCGACCCATTGCTGGGGCAGAGAGAGGGCTGGGTACAGGGGTTGCAGGTGGGGAGTGAGGGGCACCACTGGAGTAAGGGGGGCTGTGGATCAGGAGTGAGGGGGACTGGCAGGACTCAATGCCCAGACACCTGGGTCCTTTGAGAGTTCTGGAGAATGAGTGAGTTTGGGTGGGGAGGGGGCCTGCGGGGATGCAGGACCAGCAGGTCGAGGTCCCTGGTCAGGCCAGGGCGGGGGCGGGGGAAGAGACGAGACGAGACGGGACAGGACAGGACTCACAATCTCGATCCAGATGTTGGTCGTCAGTGTCTCCTCCTTCTCATTCTGCAACAGCAGGGTGAGGTCAGGGACCCTGGTGGGGCTTCAGGTCAGGAGTGAGGGGCACTGGCAGGGCAGGGGTTGGGGGTGGTGTCTTGGGGTGCCCCTCCTCACTCACCAATGAGATGAGGTTGGTCAGTGTGAGCTGCAGCTCTACAGTCACTGGGTCCTGGGGTCTCCGGGTTGGGCGGGTGCTGGGGTCGTAGCCAGAGAACAGGGTCTCGAAGAGGCGGCGCTCCTCGTTCCCACCTGGGGGGCAGTGGGGTAAGAGCCCCCCCCC